TGTGTGTGTGTGTGTGTGTGTGTGTGTGTGTGTGTGTGTTGCATGATCACCAGCTAGTCTGTAGGGACACTCTAAGTGTCTACAAACGCTGCCTAGCCAACACTGGAGAGTTTGGTCTCTGTCCCAGAGCTCAGCAGGCTGCTAGAATTTTCTCCTGAATTATAATCTCTTGTTTTCAGATGTTTCTGCAGCTGAAGAAACCTGGATGTGTGTGTGCCCTGACACAGGCTGCCTCCTCGCCCAGGGTAATTTGTAGACTGGAGGTAAGAAGCATACAGGGAACTGTGTTGCTAAGACAGGTCCACAGGAGGCAGAGGCCTGGAAGGTGTCCTGGGCAGGAAACAGGTCACCCCCTCTCTTAGTGGTCAAAGGTTAGGGTAGGCCAGCTTTCACAGAGTTCCTCTGTGTGAGCACAAGGAGGCACAGATAATACCCCACACTGAGGGGCCCCAGCCATGACCCTGCCAGAGTCAGAGGGCAGTTAGGAGGGGCTCCAGGACACGAGGGCTGTAGACAGCCTGAGTTTAACCCTCTCTAACTTCATGGCACTGGTTCCCCCTGGGCTCCTATGTCAGGAAACAGGAAGTAAGGAAAGAAAGCAGGTGTCTAAGCTCTTGAAGTACATCTGGGTGGGGTGCCCTCAGATGATCTTTCTAGGGGAGAAGGGACCATCACCCCACATGAGACAAGGGAAGACCGCCATCTTAGTCCAAATCAATTTGGACTGAATTTCAAAGGGCCTTCAACTGCTGAGTTTTATCTACACGAAAGAGCTGCTGGATCCTGGCCTGACTGGGTACGGGAGGCCACACAGGCAGGGCTACTCTTTGCTCTCTTGGTAAATTTGCTCTACAGAGTGAGATGGTAAAAGTCCTCACAAATTAACTCAAGGCCTCGCTTCTCGGTCCAGTAGCTTCATCCAGGGAAACAGGTGGTGAGATTCCTACACAGCATCTCCTGGCCCCCACCTACCTGAGGGGCATTCGGAACCCCTAGTTCTGCTACCCAAGGCCAGAGAAAGTGACAGTTAACAAAGAGCAGAGACACCTTAGGGCAAGGTGGGTCAGAGACCTGGCCCTGGAGGTCCCCCCGCAGGGGGCTGCGGGAAAGTAGGGGGAGCTGTGGAGATGGATGGGAAAGCTGGTCCCTGCTTGGTGGATGACTCTGACGGGGCTCTGACCTCCCTCAAGGGGACAAAGAAGAAGAAAGGGCTCCCTGCACTGGCAACTGAGACAGCAGGTCTTAGGGTCACACAGTAAAGTCTGCTATTTGCTAATTATCTCCTTTTATTTAGAGCAGACAAAAGCCCATCCCCAAGTGCTTTTGCTTACTGCTAATCAAACATAATGCTTCTTTTCAAATCCAGGGTTGAAGGTCAAATGGGATGACATCAGCAGCCATCCGGTGGGAGATCAGCCCCACCATGTCCCTCGGCGAGCCTCTAACCACAGACATGGTCACATTCATGGAGAGGGGACATGAGGAAGGCAGTCAGGCAGCTAGACAGAATAAAATTCAAATTCTGCCTAGTGCTGTTTGAAGTGGCAGGCTTCAAACGAGCTACATCCTAGGATGGCAGGTCGGGGCAGAAAGTGACAATAAGACAGGCCAGCATTGCAGTCACATGCTGAGACTGAGGGTGAACCCATTACACATGCTAAGAGCTACTGATTTGAACAGACAGAATTCTTAACATTTTTAAATCCCAGGGTTATTGTTGTTGTTGCTGTTATTTTTATTAAAATATTTTACCTCTGTCTGTCTCTGTGTTTCTCTCTGTTTCTTTGTCTCTCTGTCTCTCTCTGTCTCTGTCTCTCTCTCTGTCTCTCTGTCTCTCTCTGTTTCTCTGTCTCTGTCTCTCTCTCTCTCACACACACACACATGCATGCACACACATGCATGCACACACACAACTACTGAATTCCCTCCTCACTAACCATCCTTGCCCCTCGCTCTTAGACAATAAGTTCCCTGAAGCTTTAGCTCAAGGCCCAGATGGACTGTAAGGGCTGATGGGGAAAGCACCTTCAGGGCAGGAGGTTCCCCCTCAGATTCACTCAGCAGAGAGCCAGCAGGGCTAGAAGCCATCATGCTCACATGCACAGGGCTTCTCACAACGTCATGGGTCACACACTTACAGACGGGCGGTGCAGATGAAGACATGCACGTAATTACGGCATCCAGGGTGTGGTCCCAAGCCCCTCCTCTTCCAGGTATCTTCAATACCAGCCTACAGCTGTCAAGTCAGTGTGTGAGAATCACTTCGAAGGTCATCAGTGCAAGGTGGGGGATCCACCAGCTCTGCGTGAATATATGGGCCATTTCCACTAGGCGGGACCCTGTGGAAGGTCAGGGTTTAAACTCACACCTTCCCAAGGGCTGGACTGTCGCACAGGCAAACACCTGCCAGAGCATTCACACC